GAAACAGAGAGAGAAAGAGACAGAGGCAGAGACAGAAAGAGACAGAGACAGAAGGAGACAGAAAGAAAGGAGACAGAGCTAAATATATAAAGAAAAAAAAAGGAGACAGAGCTAAATATATAAAGAAAAAAAAAGGAGACAGATATAAATATATAAAGAGAAAGAAAAGGAGACAGAGAAATATATAAAGAAAAAAAAAGGAGACAGAGTTAAATATATAAAGAAAAAAAAAGGAGACAGAGATGAAGAGATAAAGAAAAAGATATAGAGAAATAGAGATAAAGAGACAGAGATAAAGAGAAAGAGACAAAGAGAGACAGATAGAAGGAGACAGATAGAGAGAGAGAGATAAAGAGACAAAGATAGAGAGAGACAGATAGAGAGAAAGAGATAGATAGAAAGAGATAGAGAGAAAGGGATAGAGAGAGACAGCAACAAAGGAGACAGAAAGGAGACAGAAAGGAGACAGAAAGGAGACAGAAAGGAGACAGAAAGGAGACAGAAAGAGAAAGAAAATATATAAAAAAGAGAGACAAAATAAAGAAATAGATAAAGAGACAGATACAGAGACAAATAAATAAATAAATAAATAGAGGGAGAGAGACAGAAAGAGACAAAAAAAGAAAGAAAGAGACAGAAAGAGACAGAAAGAGAGAAGGAGACAAAAAGGAGACAAAAAGGAGACAAAAAAGAGACAAACAGAAGAAACATAAATCATAATAAATAAATATAAAAAAAATAAATAAATAAATAAATATAAAAACATAGATTATATAAATAAATATAAAAACATAAATAATATAAATAAATATAAAACATAAAATATATAAATAAATATAAAAACATAAAAAATATAAATAAATATAATTATTTTATTTGTCTGTATCCTCCCTGGGGAGTCTCTACCCGCCGCAACAAACAAAAATAATAAAATGTTTTGGGGCTGCATGCATGCATGCATGCATGCATGCATGTATAGCTTCACTGTTAACCTGCATGCATGCATGCATGCATGCATGCATGCATGCATGCATGCATTGTTAACAATGCATGCATGCATAGGCTGCATGCATGCATGCATGCATGGCTTCATTGTTAACAATGCATGCATGCATGCATGCATAGGCTGCATGCATGCATGCATGCATGCATATGCTGCATGCATGCATGCGTTGTTAAGATGCATGCATCTATTGTTAAGTTGCATGCATGCATGCATGCATGCATGCACTATTACTATTGATATAGTTTTGTGGTGTTTTTGTTTTGTTGGTTTTGTTTGTGCTGCAGCAGAAGGCGTTTATATTTTAGGGTTTAATAAAAAACTAGGGTTTAGGGTTTAGGGTTTAGTGGGGTTTGCTTGGAGGTGCTAGGGTTTAGGGTTTAGGGTTTAGGGTTTTAGGGTTTACATACGGTGGGGTGTATAGGCAGCTACAGCTGCCTATACACCCGAAATATATTATAAATAAATAAAAAATAAATAAAAAAGACAAAATAAAGAAAGAGAAAAAAATACAAATAAAATAAAGAAAGAAGAAAGGAGAGAAAGAAAAAAGGAGACAAATAAAATAAAAAACAACAAATAACAACAACAATAATAAAGAGACAAAACGGAGAATGCATGCAGCCCCAAACTCGATCCGCATGCAGCAGCAGCAGCAGCAGCAGCAGCAGCAGCAGCAGCAGCAACTGTTGCTGCTGCAGCACAAACTTCAATCTATAAACGCATGCAGCCCCAATCTATCAACGCATGCATGCAGCCCCGAGGGGAGAAGACTAAAAGTAATTTGGCATTGTAACAACAACCTGTAGCGACAC